TCTTTTGCATTAAACTGGCACATGTATATAGACAATATCAAATATAATAAGGGCACAATGGTGTTGTTGATCTCACAGTGCTGCACTGTGGATAAACGGAGATTCCAGCGGTGTTCGAGTCTGCACCTCAAAAAAAAGAAAGAAAGAAAGAAATCAGATCTTTAAAGCTGTTCTTTATATTTGTGCTAAATAAAAGCAACATGGATTTAAATAACTAACTGGTTGATAAATAATCATAAATTAAACAGAGTATGTGTGCTTTCACTCACATAACTCCTAGGCTGTGTGTTATTTTCTTTTCAATTATCCGTCTCACTCAGACTTGGTTTTAAGATATTTACATTAGATTATTAATCTGCATCTTTCCCATAGCCCAGAGAAGTCACTGAAATAAATTTTGTGGGACAAGTATTTGAACTAGCTCAGAGCTGTATTTTTTTCTAGGGTGTCCACAGGCAATCCTCAAAGGGTCCCTGGTGACCTCGCCTCCTGCTACTGTTATAGCTCAAAAGATAAATCCTTGTGTCATGGAGCTGTGCAGATTTTTCCAGCTGTGCCTCTGCGTTAGTCAAAGAAGATATTCAAGAAAGGAAGCTATGAGGTAAAATCTGGCACCACTTTCACTCTCCTTTGCCTTCTTAAAATACTCCGCAGTCCTTTTTCAAATGACAGTTCTCAATCACCACGGCTTATTTTTGAGAGTCTAGGGATACTGGCTGTGTCCCACATGGGTCCCCAGTGCACTGAATGATACCTGATTTGACTTCTACTATTCAAACAGTGAGTGAATAAAGCTCAGCTAAATTTTTCCAACCGTCTAAAGTGAAGTCAGGATCTAGCTTTTTATTTCTATATTCAAAGTTCAATATTAGCAGCATGCGACAGATGCACATTAGTTTGTGAAAGATGACAACATATCACTCCCCTAACTTTAACTACGCCTTTAGGTACTGTGTTGAATACTATTCCTGGTTCTTGAAAAATGCCAGTTATGTTTGTGAAAAAGTCAAAAGACTGGCTTACTCCCGCAGTAAGTATATTTTCTCTTTATATTTCTACATAGCCCACTATGAAGGTGTAACACACAGTTTTAGACGTCCACAGAGTATTCGCTGTCTTTCATCAGATAGCTACTTTATTTGATCATGAATTTTTAAGGGATTAAAAAAAAAAATTACTTACCTTTTTTGCCAATTTTTAATACTTTTCTTGTAAAATCTGTTCTGAGTGCAGTTTTCTTTTGTTCTTCCAGCATTAAAGCAAAAGTGCCTTAGAAACATCTGTAAATCTGTCTAGAGCACTGAGGAATTTTACTGCAAATCAGAAGATCTGTGACAGTTTTAGTAGTCTCATTTCCCAGTGTAAGAAAAATGAAATTGCAATATGCTATTTGCAAATATTTGTAACAAGACAAGTTATTAACCAGACGTTTCCTAGAAGTGCTTTTTCCTCCAAGGCATTGTAAAAATGATGTGTAAAAAACGATGAATTTTATACAAGTAATGCAACTGTAATAAAAGCATTAAAAGAATGTTTGTTTAAAATTGTGTTTTATAAACGATGTTTGTGAGGTTGTCTGATGGATGCAAATCGTTATACTAGTTTTATTCATAATTATGATAAAGTAATCAAAAAGAGCAAATATAAAACAATTTAAAAGTAGTCTAAAATACTGAATACAATAAGGTTTTTTTCTGGTCTTAAAGCAATGCAGAATGTTCATTATTACAAATCAAGAGTCTCCCATTATTTTAGCCATTCATCTAGTAAAGAGTTCAACCAAAGAAACATTTACATCTCTTGTATTCTCACTCTTTGATGATTTGTATGAGCCACGGTTCACATACATCTTTGTATGTACCACTAGTAAACTAAAAGCCAATTATAATAAAAGAAAAAGTGGCCAAACAAATTGCACAATCCTATATTTTGCTACATTGTAGCAAGCACCGCACAATCCACTTACATCATCAACTCCAACTACATCATCAAACCATTAATATTGCCAGCAAAAGAAGAGCATACACACCATTGCTGGTACACATAGAACCTCAATGTTTTACTGAAGAAATGTGTGTTCAAACTACTATAAAGCCAAAGAGAAAGGTGGCAGCATAAGAAATGTTGTCCTCATAGAGAGATGGGACATCATAGCAATCCTCTTCCAAAACACCATTGTGCTTGACGGCATGGAAGAACTGTTAAGCATATTAAAGAATAAGATAAATTAGAGAAGTATCAATTACAGTTGTTGTTGCGATTTAGGCCAGACAGATAGAAGGAAAAAGAGTCCCGAAATGGTGAAGGTATAAACCAGAGGGAGTATCAAACGTGGCCGTGATGCTGCGATGCTAGGGAGAGATCTCACAGTGCTGTAACACCTCTCCTTGCCCAAGGTAGGCTCAGTTCTGCTGTGAAAAACTGTATGAACAGCACCTTTGTGGAACTGCTGTTTTTAAATCTCACAATAACATTTTAAAGCCGGAAAACTAGGCTTTTTTCTTTTTAATCTGTGTTATGCTTCTTACATTCATTTTTACCATTTGGTTTTCTGGGAAGTGAGGAAGAAGGATACAAGGAGAAGAACATAAAAGGCAGAGAAAACAGAAAAATTAGTTTGACTTCTTTTTTAAGTTTGAAGTAGAAGAAAATATCAAAGAAGAATATTTCACAAAATATGTATTTTTTTTCATTTTAAACAGAATGCATTATTCACCTCTGAGTTGCAGCAGTGATGTCTGCACTAAAGGAAATTTTTATGGTTTTCAGAAATCCTTGTCTTTTACATTCCTCCTGCAGGAATGTTAGTCCTGCAGCGGAGTGCTAACCTCATGTTTAGGGTGCCCCAGAGCAGTGTCTGCTACTGGGGGTAGGTCATGGCCATCTCCACTCTGAGGTCTTGGAAAGGGTAGAGAAGTTCCATCTGAGCGTATTCATGGGTCAATAATTGGAAAGTGTCACTTAGCTATGGGTGCTTTGGGAAATGATCTGATACTGATAGATGGTACATGACCTGAATGACAACCTTCTTATTTCAGCTGTTTAAGACTTATTGTTTAGCTTACCCAGGAGAAAAACTATTGAATGAGAGAAGGAATACAAAAGCAAGGCTCCCTGAATAAAGCGAGCACATTGGCTGCCCTCACAAAAGCACGTTTTTATTCCATATTCTGAAGTCTTCATTCCTGCAAGGTCTCTGAGCACCTTTGGCTATGGTCCATGAGTAATGATGGCATATGACTAAGTGAGCATCTCAGAGGATTCACAGTTATTATAGTGCCCAGTCAAACCCATGCCCCACGCTGATGTGTCAGGCTGATTATTTACATTAAAGCAGTAAAAAAGTCACTAGTGACAACCCCGCAGCTAGCTGAAGACTCCATTTGGAAGCACGAAAATAAATGGAGGCTGTATGAAAGCAATTTTTGTATCACTATGGCATAATTTCTGCCATGTTTCACTCTACCGTAAAAGTTGCTTGATAATTCTGGTGGCAGAACTGGCATGACTGGACCCAAAAGATAGCAGTCCTTTTTCTGTCAAGACATCAGTAGTGAACCAGTTTAGATGATAGTGCAGTTCACAGGATCTGTGTGGAGCCAAGCCTTTTCGCTTCTGTAAGTATCTTTACGGTCTTCCTTTGTCATACCACTTCTCCATGCTAAAACCTAGTTGGCCTAAAGTGCCTTAGCTCCATGGAGAAGCTGTGGCAGCTCAATCAGCTGAGCATGTGGCTGTGTGGCACACTCACTACGGCAATCTGGTCCACAGCAGCTGTGTCCTAAGTGGATCGCAATGGTTCGCATGAACGTTTTTGGGAGCCTCCATTCACGTTGCTTTCTGCTGTGGCTTTCTAGGAATTTTTTGTGCAGACTGAGTCTTTGATATGGCTTTGAGTGAGCATTTGGGATGGTTTTGGGAGTGTGCAGAAAGTGTGTTACCCGCAGATGATATGATGGGATGTCTATGGTGAATTACCAGTGCCATCCACATCAACTGGGACCAAAGTTTTGCCACCAGCTTCAGCTTCCACCACCTGCTGAAGTTCAAGATGGACAAACTAGCCTTCACCAATATTACATCTCTGAGGCAACCAGCAATTCAGCTTTGCTGATGGTGTCTTTGAAGGGTAGCTGTGTCCGGAATTGGCAGAAAGCACACCAGCTACAGGAGGGAAAGTCTGCCCCAAAGCTCGTGGAAGCAGTCTGCCCCTTGATTTCATTCAGCTTTGGATGAGAGCCACTGAGGATAGACAAGAGCAGAATTCTCAGCCCTGAGGAATGCCAGTGTTTAAAGCTGTATAAGTTTTCACTCATCTGTCATCACTGAACACTACCTCTTGCTAAGCTATTAAAGCCATATTCACATGCCCCAGAGATTTTGTGAGATTAATAACAGTGAAATGATTGTTATTTAATTACAGCTGCAGAGTATTAGGGAAAGTTACTATACAGTGAATGCACCTGCAGAAAAGACCTCTCAGTATAGATCCTTTACATGGCTAGAGCTATATTACTACACTGTAGACATAATGAACCTTAGGAATCTCATGGAAGGATTAATTAATAAATGTTGAAGTGAGTTTGATAAAGGAAACGATCACATGGGTAAGATATATATCCAAGTGGGTATAAATCACTTAGCACTGACTTTGTTGAAATCCATTTGTTCTCCATCCAACTGCTTTTGAATAATATTCCTCAAGGTAAGCTTTTCTAGATGCACTCTGTAGTACAGGAATCAGGAAGAAAATAGCTTAGAATAAAACTATTTAGGACTGTGGATCTGTAGACTAATGCGCAGGTAAGAGATTTGGTACAGCAGATTGAAGTAAAATAATTGAAGCTACTAGATTTATAACCTCGTTTCTTGACAAAATATTACAATATTTTTTAATAAAAAAGAATGTAATGTTTAACCTTATACTTAGGGGAGTAGATAATCAACAGTAGATACGTATTTGAAAACTGATAAGTAAATGCTCATTTGTTTGGCTATTAAAAATTCTATGTGTGATTTAGAAAATTATTCTAAATTCAGGGTAAGCAGTGATTTTAGTTTGAAACCAATCTATTATTTACCATTTAATGTATACTAGTGCAAAGCTTTTGGCTTCAGAAGATTACTTAATACACATTTCTGAAAGGACAAACAGCCAGAACTTGAAGATCCCCAAACAATATAGTATGTATGATTAGGAAAATATATGATACATTAGATAAATCTCTACACAAATTAGAGTGAATGTTTGACTATAAATTTGGAGAGACTTTTAAATGATATGAAACAAACTAATATAACGGGTTGCAGATTAACTGATTTCAACAGAAGTAATTCCAGAATGTTAGTTCATTTATACAGTGTTTCACAATATCTGCATTTAAAAAGAGTGTAAAGAATTAATTGAATGTTTGGTTAGATCATATAAGCTATGAAAACCGTAAAACAAAAGAAGCTTCAAGTACACTGAAAACAGTAGTTAAATGGACTTTCCCTGTCCACAGCACTTTGGAATAGCCTGTTGACTTACTTAAAGCAATACCTAAATAAATATTGTTAATCAAGTTTATAGAAGGCACTGGAAAAAATTGGAGTGTACATAAGGCTCATCTTTGGTGTAATATGTGCGCTTAATATGATAAGGGTAAATATGGCATTGAATTAAACAGAAATATGGCCAGGGTACAAAATAATGATTTTCTAAGCTAATATCTTCCAATTCTCAGATTCAAGATAAAATATTTTGCATAATATTTTATTTAGCTCACCAGGCACACCCGTCTGCTGTGTGACTTTGTCTCATCTTTGGATTAAACTAAAAATGATTGTAATTCTGCTGATTTCTCTGCCAATGGTGTTGTACAGTGGTAAGTGGCCATGTATTTTTACAATTATTTGGCATTTATGCCTAAATACTACTTTAAGTTTGTGCATTTGGCAACAAACCTCCAGAAGCAAGCCTTCTACCCCTCCAAACCTACTTGTTTAACACCCAAATGTGCTTTAATAAGTGTCACTATAGGGTAGTTATAAAAAATGTTTCTCTCGGGCCTTGTAGTAAAGTAAGAAAGTTGACTTAAAATATAAATAAAATTGGAGATTTCTACTGGCATTCGGTCACAATTTTAATTTTTTAAAGTAAAAAAAATATTCACACCAATTATATATACAGAGATTTTAGTCATTAAATAAATGCATATTATCTACATTCTCCAAAGTATTCAGTGGGTCCTGAAATACAATTGATGTTCTGATAAGGCTCCTCCTTTAAATTTTACTTTAAATATTTTTTTTTCCTTCATATAAATCTAGTTTTTTATTTTCATTCAGAGAATACGCTTCCAACTGAGCCAGTAACAGGGATAAGCAAACAAGGTGATTTCTGCAATTCCTGCACCACGT